CTTTCGGTACAACACTTGGACTGGGAACCAAGCCAAAATAAAACATAGCTCTGCAGATTTTTACAAGAAAAATGGGCCAGTGAGACATGATCTATAGAGTTAGCAATGGAACAGCAGAAATTTCCATACTTTTCTCTTCATGCACTGATTTTATGCCAACTCTGATTTTTTTTCTGTTATTGTTCTCATTGACATGCAGTATTGTTACAGCTTGTTAGTACTGTTCTTGCTTTAAATAATGTATAAAAAGCTGCATATTTTTTGCATAACTGATAAATCACAATGCATTCTACTTCATGCATTCAGGGGTTTTCTTTTCCAACTTTATACAGATATTTTCTGTGTACTTTCTATATAATGGAAATACTTTTTAAAAAATAACTGAATCCATTCTATCAAAATAAAATAAGATTTCACAATGATTTTTAATTATCATTAAATAATAGGGCTTTTGAAATTCAGAAAAAATATACATTTATAGAAATCTGCTTTCATCATATTTCACAATTGCTCTGAGTTAGACCTTAATGCTAAGATGTGCTTAACTGCTTATACTTGGCTCATCTTCTTGAATATAAAAAACTGTTTCAGTTGATTACATCACTAATGTTCTCAAAGTTTGAAATAGTAGGCTTCCAATTTTAGCAATTGATCGGATAAAAATGAATTTTAAAAATCATCTTGAATCCAAGTTCAAAATTATAATTCTTGTCTTCTATCCAACCCAGCATGTACTCTGGATACAATTTGTCTGCCTTTTGGCAAAAACTTAAGACACTTAGTGGGAAGTGAAAATATACTTCAGTTCCTAGGAAAATAAGTATTATATGAATATGGCTAAATTGAGGCAATAAAACCAGAGGCAAACATTTAGACTGTTAAAGATGTTAATACTGGTTTTAAAAAATGGGATTGGGAGGGTGGGTTAAAAGAAGGAAAAGAAAAAAGCAAGTCAAAAGAATCTACTGAAGAGTGAAGAAAATACTGCTGCTGAAACCTCAACAGTACTTGTATTTTTCAAAACTATTTTTACATTACAATCTGTTTATCTCAACAGGTTTTTTGACTTGTTGGTGTGATATACACAATATTCTTACATTTTAGCTTTAAAGATTACTTGAGTTTTGTCTATATTAGAAGAATTTTAATATTTCCAGATATTTCCAGAGGGAAAAAAATAGTGAAGTCATAACTATCTATCATCCAAAACTATATTTATTCCCTTGGCTTTCGAGCAAAACAGTATTTTGCTTCCTCTTGCATATATGCTAGAAATAGAAATACTGAAAAACCAATATATAATAAACATTGACTTTAATGAATTAATAGAAAACAATATTCAAAACTATTAAAATCACAGTCATTATGAGTCTATCAGGCCTGGATTTGCATTCTAGAACTGCCAATGAATAGTTGTGTCGCCTTTTAACCCATGTACATGTCAAGTAACTGCTTTTATGACATATTGAACACAGTATCTGTTTCAGTGGGTTGTTTTAAACATTAAAACAGTACTCAGCAAACCAGAACATCAGATATAATTTAAACATCCACTTTTAGTATTAGTAGTAATACTTCACCATAATTCCATAAAATAGTTTAACAGATAAAAAATATATAATTACTTCATATTTATCAAAACCCAAATACCTATTTATTTCTCATATTATACCCCAAATACATAGCTAAAAGCACAGATCAATATCAATGTTTTCTCTCATGATCCTGCTGTAAACTCTCTAAATGACCCTGAGCAATTCTCTTAACCTTTCTGGACTTATCTCAGTTTTTTAAATTACAAAATAAAGAACTTAAGTTCTTGATCTCAAGAACATCTAGCACTTTGGGGGAAGAACTGCAAGGATTAAGTAATAGGAGTATCTAGGGTAAAGGTAGAATGAGCCATTATTCTAGCATGGATCCCATTTACAGGAAATAACTCTATAAATTGTTATAAAAATGCAACAAATTAGTTTACTAAATTTAAAAAAAGCTTATAACTTACCTAAACATTCTACCCAACAATGTCTTTCTCCTTTCACAAAAACCACAAGAACAATATAAAAGATCCTTTTGAATGCATTTCTACTGTACATTCAAAGTAACATGTACAAGCCTGCTAGGTAAAGATGTAGTCTTTTCCTAGCAATATTTGTTTTCCAAAAAAAATTATGTAGGTATACTTTCCATTATCAGATGTAAAGAAGGAAAACATTCTCAGAAACATTATAAAATCATTTCAAATATTTCAATACCACTCTGAACAACTTTTAAACCATAGTACACTATGGTTTCATTTATCAATAAGTAATTTAGTTTAAAATACTTTGTACAAAGCCTTCTCTAAAGAAAAATCTATAACAGCTGCTGATAATTTATCACGATCTCTGGTTTCTACAGGGCCTTTTTCTATTTGTTAACAACAAAAAAAGTCAGATTTGAAAGGTTTAAAAAGAAATGCAAGAGAAAAATAAATTTGTAAAAGATATTAAATTCATGGCCTTAAAATAATGCTGTTAACTGACTTGAAACAGAACAAAAGTAATATATTCTTTTTAACATTTTAAAACACCAATGGGTCATGTTAATATGCACATAGGTCTTCGAAAGGCAACCTTCGAGTTCAAATTATGGTTAAGTATTATTACTGCTTTAAGTAAATATATCATCAAATTAAAATGATTACCTTTTTTTTCTTGTGCCTATCAATAATATTTCTTCCCAGAGGTAGCATGTTGTTTACTCCTCTACACTAAAACTGCTCAACATTTATTTAGTTTTTTCCTTTCTGAATTGCTAATTTCATGAGCCACAGATATCATTAAATTGCAGAATTTAAAGATTAGTATATTCTTATATTATATATAATATCACTATGCAGGATGCAATAACTATATATTTAATATTAAGTAAAATAATTGAGATCATTGTATATTACAAGATCTTTGTTTGATTCAATATGGCAGTACAGTTCCTAACAGATACATTAGTAGTCAGAGGTACACTGAGGAGCATTAAATGAACAGATTAATAATGGAATATTAAGACAAATTATGTTATAAATGATCAACTCTGCAGTTTCACATCTCCATGGGGGCAACTAATAACCTCAAGGGAGTTAGCATATTCTAACTACTATCTGAAATGAAGACTATGATAAAGGCCATAAAAATAACAGTTCAGTCACTGTAAGATCAAAACCTTTTCATTATTTTACAATTTAGTCCTATAACAGATGTTATAAAGAAAAGCAAGAGGTCAAGATTCTTTACAAAACTAGATAAATTTACATTTACTAAGGACTGACTCTTTGACCCTTTGTCATCTAAGTTATTATCTCATTCCCTCTTCCCCAAAACTCACAATCCAGTGGGTAATATTACATCAACATTTTACAGATGAGAAAAACAAGGTGTAGGGAGGATAAACAACCTTCCCACAGCTAAGGGACCTAGAAAATGGCAGATGGGATTTGAATAGAGCAATCATAACCTGAATACTGCTTGCAACCTAAATCTCCCAAGTAGAAAATTTAATACATTAATATAACAACCTTACTATTATACCTATTTAGATATCCACAGCAAGTCAAATACTGCTCTACAACATTTTGAGGCCCTTAATACCTTAGGAAGAAATTTTTGTCTTCTTCATTCCCTACTGAAAACTAACAATCCTGTCTTTGGGAAAATAATGCAGCACAGATAAAGGGAAATTCACACTTGTGTTACTCCAGTAAACTCCATAACACCTTTGATAAAATAATTATAGCAGTTGTGTTAATATTCCTTTGTGTCTCAGAGAAAGCCAAGTCATATGCATATGACTGCTTTTTTCACTAGCTATTTCTAGTATTCACTTCCATTCTACCCTTCAAGCTTCACATTTGCATATATATCATGGCAAAGATTATTATTTCTCACTGAAATGAGAACTCTTAAACATCCATGTGTAATACAGAAAAGCAACTAAACCTCAACCTAAGTTTGGTTACGTAAATGTTACAAGATGACTTCAAAGTTTCAAAAGTAGTCATTGCCCTAATATACTGGGGGGGGAGGGTTAATATTTTAATATTCTAATATTCAGAAATTTTTTACTTTCTCTTGCATGTGAATTTTATATCCACCATTAGCTAAAGGGTCTTTTATAACCTAAGATCTTGGTTTTTTTTTTTTGTGGGCATCATTTTCTTAAATAAGTACAGCAATTTTAAGGCATTTCCTTAAAACATCTGTAATCCCCACAGCTTGGGAAACTGAGGCAGGAGGATTGTGAGTTCAAAGACAGCCTCACTAATTTAGCAAAGCATTAAGCAGCTTAGTGAGAACCTGTGTCTATAAAATACAGAAAAGGGGTGGGAATGTGGCTCAGTGATTGAGTGCTTCAGAGTTCAATCCCCAGTACCAAGAAAAGGAAAAAAAAAAAAAAGAGTTTGGGAAAAAGCAGAGATAAAAACATGGATAATCTTGAGCTAGTTTATTTAAGGTACAATTTATAAAAACAAACAAAC